GACCGGGGACCGGCAATGGGATTGCAACCCTCGGCGTTGCTCCTGCGCCTCGCTCAGCCAGTGAGCGGGAACCGGTCTGTATGTGGGATCCGAACCCTCGGGCGGGAGCGCCGCCGCGCTTCCCAAGCGGCGCACTATCCAGTGCGCCACCGGGCCGGCCCATGATGTATAGCTTTTTAAATTAAAATTCAATATGTGGAGCATGTTTAAAGCTAATTGGGTTCTATTAGTCTGTACACATACTAGCGTTGTCCTTTACCTCTAGCCGATTTTTAAAAAAATCAGTAAACTTACTTTTTGAGTAGTTTTACATGCAAAAAAAAAAATTGAACGGAAAGTACAAAGAATCCCCATATACTTCCTTCCACTTCATCCCCATTCTCCTACTATTAACATCTTATATTAATGTAGGACATTTGTTACCATATAAACTAGAATCGGCTTATTATTCTTAAGTCCATGGTTTTCATGAGGGGTCACTCTTCATGTTGTACAGTTCTATGGGTTTTGACAAACGTTATCAGTCGTACGGAATAATTTCACTGCTCTAAAAATTCCCTGGGCTCCTTACCACCACTTATCTTTTTATTGTTTCTGTAGTTTCACCTTTTCGTATAAATTTTTTTAGGTGTGGTAAAATAGAACATAAAACTTACCACATTGTTTTTTAAAGCACAATTTGGTGACATTAAGTGCACTCAAAATGCTGTGTAACCGTCGCTCCCACCCACTTCCAGAACTTTTACAGCACCGCAAACAGAAACGGTGTACCCCATAGACAGCGACCCCGCTCCCCTCTGAGCCGCGTTAACCTCCCTTCTACTTTCCGACTCTGGGTGGAATCCTAGGGTTCGTCCCGCCGCGTCTCACTGCACTGAACCTCCTGTGAACGCGGTTCGTCTACACTTGAGCGCGCATCAGAACTTCACTCGTCTTTACGGTGAGTGGGCTCCACTGTATGCAGACCCCACAGCCCGCCCCCGGTCACTTGCCGACAGACACGCGACCGTGAATGCCACCGCCCCGAACACACGCGGACGAGTCCCCGCGGGTCACACGCTCCCCGCCCAGTTTCCGAGGACCCCCGAGCTTTCTCAACGGCTGCGCGGCCCACGCTGCCCAGCAATGCGCCAGGTCCCCGCATCTCCGCCAACGCCCGCTGTCCCCATCTTTTGTTAACAGCCACCCCAGCAGGCGGGAGGTGGCATCTCGCTGCGGCGCGATTGCATTTTCCTGGCGGCCAGTGGCACCGAGGATCTCTCCGTGCGCTCACGGCCGTCTGCACGTCGTCTTCGGAAGAGCAGCCGCCCCATCCCTGGCCCACTGTGACCGGGGTCGCTCCCTATTGAGCTGCAGGAGCGCCTGAACGTTCTAGAACGTCACCCCGAGCCAGGTGTACGCCTTAAAAACCTGTCCCCACTCTGCGGTAACAACGGCGGGGCCGAGGGAGGCCACGGCACGGCGGGAA